TGAGACGGAGTTTCGCTCTTTGTTACCCAGGCTGGAGTGCAATGGCGCGATCTCGGCTCACCGCAACCTCCGCCTCCTGGGTTCAAGCAGTTCTCCTGCCTCAGCCTCCCGAGTAGCTAGGACTACAGGCATGCACCACCATGCCCAGCTAATTTTTGTATTTTTAGTAGAGGCGGGGTTTCACCATGTTGACCAGGATGGTCTCGATCTTTTGACCTCATGATCCACCCGTCTCGGCCTCCCAAAGTGCTGGGATTATAGGCGTGAGCCACCGTGCCCGGCCACTTTTTATTTTTCTCTTTTTTTTTTTTTTTGAGAAACCACATTCTATATCTGTCATACTGGCCTCGAAAAGGAAAGACAAGTATTTTAAGTTGCCTCCGACATGCTTTTGAGTACATAGGGTCTAGAAGGTTAGACTGGAGTGTGCCAGAGGGGAAGGGGCTAGTGTGAGGCCTCCATCTGGAAGGCACAGGAAGGGGTGGCTGGAGCTGAAGGAATAGAATAAACCTCTCGTGTGCTTGGGCCTCATTCACTGGATATTTTTCCAGAAACAGGAAAACAGCCTTGTAGCTGAGGACTGGTGTGAAGGTGCAGATGACTGGGGAAGTGACACTGAGGAGCTGCCTTCACCGCAGCTTACCTTGGATTTTGGGAATGATGCCAACAGTGCCAAAGACGTAGACTGGACTACTCAGCTGCAAGACCTCCACCTGCAGGATGCTGTCCTGGGTGCTGCCCCTCCTGCGCCTCCAGGGGAGCAGATGGCCTTGCCTCCTGGGATGCCACCATTCCTGCCCTACTACATCTGTGTTGCAGACGAAGATGATTACAGGGACTTTGTCAACCTGGATCATGCCCACAGCCTTCTGAGGGACTATCAGCAGAGAGAAGGAATTGCCATGGATCAGTTGCTTTCCCAAAGGTGAGGATGTGTGCTGCTGAGGTTGAGAGGTGACCTGATTGGGAAGCAGCCACAGTAGTTACCCTTCAGTTTCACCCCAGGACCTGGGGAAACATTCAGGCAGAACTTGTATGTAGGAGTTCTTTTCCTTTTTCGTTTCACTTCCTTATCAGCCAACTTGAATTAGCTTGAAAACACTGCTCTATTTATAATTATTGTTAAGAAAGTGAAGAAAGATGAAGAAACAGAAGTTAGAGATGGCAAGTATTTATAGAAGTTGCGTTCACTGACTCTTTAACTTTTTATTTCTAAAATGTCCTTACAGCAGAGACAGGTAAGTTAGAAAACTGCCATTTGATCTAAGACTGGAGCGAAAACATGGAAAAAGGAAAAGAAAAATGCCATTTATTTATTGACTCTTGGCTGTGGCTCTAGAACTGGCCCAGGACCTCAGAGATGCTTTCAGATCTTCAGTTACCTCCTGTAAAGTGAGAGTGATGGTGATATCTCTGTTCTCTGTCTCATCACATGATTTTGAGAGTCAAGTGAGATATTAGATCTTGAAAGGCTTTATAAACCAAAGCTCTCTAAAGAAGTAAGAATGACCATTTTTCCTTATTGATTGATTGATTGAGAGAGACAGGGTCTCACTTTGTCACCCAGGCTAGAGTGTAGTGGTGTGTGATCACAGCTCACAGCAGCCTTGAACTCCTGGGCTCAAGCAGTCTACCTCAGCTTCCCAAGTAGCTGGGAGTACAGGTGCATACCACCATGCCTGACCAATTACAGATTTTTTTGTGTGTGACTTTCACTCTTGTTGCCCAGGCTGGAGTGCAATGGCATGATCTCAGCTCACTGCAACCTCTGACTCCTGGCTTTAAGTGATTCTCCTGCCTCAGCCTCCCGAGTAGCTGGGATTACAGGCATGCACCACCATACCCAGCTAACTTTTGTATTTTTAGTAGAGATGGGGTTTTCACCATATTGGCCAGGATAT